TAACCATAAACAGCTGAGTTCTCGTAGTCTCGTAGTCACAAAATTAGCACTAAATTCTTAAAACTCAACAGCTGATCATAAAAAAATATGTATGTACATCAAATTAAAGGGAACATCTTTCTAAATAATATAAATTTATTTTGCATTAGTTATGAACTCTTGTTAAAAAAAGGTTATTTTATGAAAAATTAGAAATTTCGGTTCGTTTTTTAGTATTTTTGGATTAAAAATAAAAAAGCATATAAGAAATCATAAGTTTTTGAATCGGTTATGTAGTTCATAAGATATTAGTATTTAAAAAATCAAAAAAATTTTAATTTAATCTTTTATATATTTTTTATATTATTGCGGCAAATAATTTTGGTACGTTGAAATCAGCGTGAGAAGTTCTATATAGCCACATTTTTGGTTTTTGCACAGCTAAATGGTTCAAATTCTACACTTATGCCAAAATGTTGGCTGTGAACAATTTATTTTTTGAACGTCTGGCATCACGTTCTTACTCGCACTTCAGATATTAGATGATTATGGTTATGGCGGAAAGCAAAATTCAATTGGTCTCTATGGCTATGGTTATGGCTATGGCATTATGGAGTGGCACCACTAATCGAATACAGTGTTGGCCATAACGTTGGTTGGCACAGCTGTGTTATATGGTCATGGTTATGTCACCACTAATTTAACCTTAAGTGATTTATAGATATACGCGTAAACAGCTTATAAAATAATTGCTTTTAAAAACTTTCTATATGCTTGTTGCTATAAACATTTATTTTATGCATGTAGAAGTAAACTTATTGCAAGTTTATTTCAAAAACTTCTTTAGAAATCTTTGTTAGACCAGATTTCAGCAGTGTCTCTTCAACTTACAAATGGGAAGATGTCATAAAAGCAAAGCAACCTGATTTTTGTTTATTTTTCTCGTTTGCCTTAAAAAAAATTGGAAGTACAAGTATTATCGATACCGTTTTGCAAGTATGAGTACTGGCATCGATTCTTCTTTAGACTTTTTTAAATGAGTACTAGTATCGATACTTTTCGAAAAAGTTCCATCACTATTTATACACTATTTTTAACTGTCTGGAAAAATGAACTACCGATCTGAAATTTAGTGTGAGCCGAAACACTTCGTACTTTCAAAGCGAATTGAAACTCAAATTATACATGTGCTTTGCGTCGTGGCGAATTGAATTAAAGCGACTTATTACTGCGTATAAAAGTACTAATAATGGCGAGATAGTTGTTTAAGCACCGCTTGCAAGCCAAACCAGATGTGTCAGGTTTTTCTAAAGCTTTTTAAAAAGAGTTCTTCATTCTTATTCCTTTGGCTGTTTCAGTATTTGGCGAACCTGCAACATCATCAGCGTTTTTCGATTTTAGTTTTCTTAATTCATTTTTATTATTTCTGCGACTGGTTTGAAAAATTTGAGCTCATAGCCAATGAAAATTTTGAACAAAATTCTGTTTTAGAAGTCGTGGCTTCCAGCCGAATCGGATCAAAATATTGTTATTTTTTAAAAAAAGCAAAAAAAAAGTTTTTATAAGCATTTGGAATACTGGAATCACGGGTGATGATGGTATCAGATAGTTACGTAATTCTTAGCTAATTAAAGGTCAGACCTATAGTTTTTTTAATTTTTTGAGCATCGATTCTCTTTATAGTCGGACGTTGAACGATTCTGCTGGAAATCCCTTTTGAAAGAGCTTATTCTTTGACTTTAAACAGCAAAGAAGGGATACGTAGGGGGACAGTTTTAACACAGAAGTTTTAGTCATATATATCCCTATGAAAAAATATTGCCAGACAATAAACAAAATTAATAATAATAATAATAGATTGGTGCTTACACATATCGCACCCTAAATAAAAAACCGGCACAACTCGAAATTTGTCAAAATTTATTTTTTTTCCATAAAACAGTTCACAGACCGTATACTCAACGTCCGCGAAAATTTCTTCTTCATTAGTATCTTCTTTGACTAGAAAAATACTACTAAAACTTTTTAGTTTTGCTTTCGTCAATTGCGCATCAACAGTTTTTTGCCTCTCCTGAACATTTAGGATTTTTTGAGTTGTGACGGTTTTTGATTTAGTGTGCGATATCTTAGTGCTTGGCCGAGCTTCTCCTCCGATTTGTGGCGTGCGCCTTGATGTTGTCATGTTGTGCTGTGTGTAGGTCCCTACAGTTTTACGCCGACTCCGTACGGCGATTGTATTTTTATGAGAAGCTGTTTTTCATGGCAAAATACACTCGGAGGTTTGCCATTGCCTGCCGAGGGACGACCGCTGTTAAGAAAAAACCTAATTTCTATATTTTTTGCGATGCTGCTTAGACCAGGGTTTGAACCCAGGCGTTGCGGAGTGGAAGCGCGCACTTCTTACCACTACACCACAGCGGCCGACAAAACAAAATTACTCTTTTGAAATTTTTGGTAAAAGTAAACGATTCAAACGAATATTTCGTCACCTGAAATACAAAAAGACGTAACAAACATCGTCTCTTAAATGCAAAAAGTCGTAAATAAATTATTTTTTACTTTTAGTCACATTGCAATAAAAGCGAGTTTTTAGTTTTTTAAACTATATTCTTAGTCTTAAATTCAATTCCTTTTAAAACTATTATAACGAATAAATAACAGGCGAAATCAATCTTTGAAATCTTCATTCGTACTGTCATCAGGTAACTTTAAAATGGAAATTTAAAGCAATTCCTATTTGTACTGTCATTAGGTAAATAGCTTGATAATGGAAATTGCTGCATCTTTTAGGCGCATCATCTATATATCTATCTATATCTGTACTATTACATAAAATTGATTATACGGAATGCGTTTGTAAAGATTTTTTTTTCAAAGTACTAAACCGATTTTAATAATTAATTTTTTTTAAACGAAGCATTTGTGAAACAAAAACAAACACCCTTTTTTTGGGTGGAAGGTTATAAAAAATTGCAAAGGCGTACAAGCATAAAGAGGGATCACCCGATTTGTACATTTGTACAGAAAATGCTAAATTTAGATTTGTCCACATTTGCGTATTTGGATATCGATGTACAAATTATTTGTTTCGCGATCAGACGATTTGGCTGCTAAAGATCCAAATGATTTGTCACACATTTGCACACGACAGAAAAGTGACAAATATTATCCACATTCATCCACACGGTTTAACCATTTGGTCAAAAATACTTAGACAGCTGATCAGTTGTCAACCATACTTTCGCATCTATGATACATATTGTGAGATTTTAAGTGAAATATACAAAAAATAATGGATACGCAAAGGCAAAAGAAACTCGCAGCGACTATATACATTTATTATTATATAAAACGGAAAAGATGTCTTGAAAAGAACAGTATTCCTAGAAAGAAAAGAAATATGACTCCACGAAGTGTTTGGGTGAACGAATGACTCCTTAAAAGGTGCTCCGAGGGCGCTTACGAAAAAACTTTGCGCGAGTTGCGGGAAATAAATAATCAAACATTTTAGTTTAAAAATTACTTACGTATGAACGAAACGACTTTCAACGAACTTCTTAAAAAGATTTCTCCATTTGTAAAAAAGAATGATACAAACTAGTATCGCCCAGTTGTCCAAATTCGACATCTTTTTTCATACACTTTTGAATTGTACCTTTCACCAATACTAAGTCCTTTATGCGAATTACTATTTTGAAGTCCACCAGCATAATTTATAGCGAATTTATAGGAAAAAATGGAATTATGACCGTTAATATCGGATTGATTAATGCTAATTCTACCAAGTCTCCTCCTCAGTAGCTTTTGGAAATAAACCGAAAAAGGAACATCGATTTTCATTTATAAAAATATGTTTATGTATGTATAGATGAGATGTTCGTCACTAAATAATATGTCAAACAATTCAAACTGTAAATAAGCCCGTAAGTACGGTATTGACAACATATGTCGCTGTGTTAAATTTTAGGACATCAGCATAAGCGGTTCCAGAGATAAGCGATATGAGAATTGCAGTTTGTATGGGCGGTGCCGCGCCCCCTTTTCCAAAATCTACCAATTTGCGCCGTAGGTACGGTGTTTATAGCATATTTTGCTGTGTCAAATTTCAGGACGTTAACATAAGTGGTTCCAGAGATAAGCGATATGAGAATTGCAGTTTGTATGGGCGGTGCCGCGCCCCCTTTTCCAAAATCTACCAATTTGCGCCGTAGGTACGGTGTTTATAGCATATTTTGCTGTGTCAAATTTCAGGACGTTAACATAAGTGGTTCCAGAGATAAGCGATATGAGAATTGCAGTTTGTATGGGCGGTGCCGCGCCCCCTTTTCCAAAATCTACCAATTTGCGCCGTAGGTACGGTGTTTATAGCATATTTTGCTGTGTCAAATTTCAGGACGTTAACATAAGTGGTTCCAGAGATAAGCGATATGAGAATTGCAGTTTGTATGGGCGGTGCCGCGCCCCCTTTTCCAAAATCTACCAATTTGCGCCGTAGGTACGGTGTTTATAGCATATTTTGCTGTGTCAAATTTCAGGACGTTAACATAAGTGGTTCCAGAGATAAGCGATATCAGAATTTCAGTTTGTCTAGGAGGTGCCCGGCCCACTTTCCCTGTACCTACCATTTTTCACCGTAAGTAGGTTATTTACAATCTATGCATCTGTGCTAAGTTTCAGTTCTCCAGCATAATAAGTTTTAGAGATATAGGGCTGGTTTCTCCTTAGTTTAGCCACTTTTTGGACTTAAGTCAAAAGTTAGCCTACGTTTTACACAGCTTATTTTGACTAAGTCAAGAAAATTTGCTTAATTAAGTTAAGTTGAGTTGGGGAAACCAGCCCATAGTGGTTTTCACATTTTAGTCTATATGTCAGATGCCACGCCCCCTATATATCGGGATTTATATTTCTGGATTATATCAAGGTATATCCTTTAAATCGGCGTATGTTTCATTGAAATCGAGCGAACGGTGCCTTCAGAAAAGGGATTGCAAAATTTTCTTGTGGCGTATTTATGTATGAATATGCAAAAAGCGGTTCCAGACTGTGAACGTTTGGCTTGCACACTGTGCTTACTCGCTTCAGGGGACAGTTTTAAGAGCTTACCTGTAGTTTTTCGTATTGCGCCCAACACTATATCTTTATTCATACCGGAAGTTTGTGATGCAATTTACAAAACACTCAAAGATGAATATTTGCAGGTAAATATACACCCGTTATAGTATAAACGAAAAATTTAATTTTAGATTATTCATTTCTTAGGTTCCATCCAATGAAGATCAATGGAATGAAATTGCCAGAAAATTCAATGAAAAATGGAATTTCCCCAACTGCATAGGAGCAGTTGATGGGAAGCACATCGTAATGGAAGCATAGTCCTAATGGCTATTGCAGACGCGGAGTATAAATTCTTATATATTGACGTTGGCTGCAATGGACAAGCTTCCGATGGTGGAGTTTTTGGCAAACCAACTTTCCAGCCCGCCTTGAACATGAATTCTCTTGGACTACCTTCTTCTAGACTAGGGATGCACAGCAGAGGTGCACGCAGTCGACGTCGCGGGCAAACTGCGCGCACGCGAGCGTGCTAGGCGAGGTGAAGTGAGCTGTACGGAGATGGCATCGTATACATATTAACCACTACACACTTATTTTCAAGTAAAAATGCGTGTATGTATGTGTACTTTTGCGACAACTGAGCCAGTGTGGCATCAGGCCACCAGAAAAAGCCAATTTTTCCAAAACAAAAGCGCCAAGTTTTTATTATCATGTTTAATAATTTTTTTGATTAGTAAAAAGTGTATACACATATCCATTTCTTCACGTTTTTATTAATAAATTAAATTCAATACATTTATACCAACGCAAAAAATATTAGTTTACCTATTCCTTACATTTTATTCAGTCAATGAATTCCATCTTAATGTAGAGTATTAGTATATAGTGTATACATACATACATATGTACCTATGCATTCGGTGTGCTTAAATTAAAAAAGCATCACTAGATAACGCACCAAGCATTGAATTCCAACTATTTTGGCTTTTTGGTTTCCCAAAAACGCACTAAATTTAGTGCAAAATGCACGACCTTGGCAACAGTGAGCTGAGCACATCAATGCTCAAACAGTGATGCCAGACCAAGTATTGAGTAAATGCGCTATGTATATTTTTCTTTTAAAGCAAAAGTTCTAATTGGCGAGGGTATTGATTTTTGGTTCTTACATAGAACACTGATAAGATTCACAAACTTATCTTAGGACTTAATTAAAATAATCAACATTATTTGTAGACGAATATATTTGTGTTCGTATGAAATAGTAGCTTATGTCGGGAGGCTGGCTTTAGTAAAATGTACCATTTCCTATATTCTTTAAACCACAAGGAATTTTTTTATGAAACTTTATACGAATATTGTCTTGCTAGCATCGCCGTTATCATTACTGTCTTTTACGTTTATTTTCCAAGAGTTCTTCAACGGCTCGGCGCCAGTGAGTCTTTCGCAATTGTATGCTGCGAATGGTTCATTATACTAAAGCCAGTCTTCCGACATAAGCTACTATTCTATACGAACACAGATATGTATACTTCCTAATAGGCTTGTAAAATGCCCAATACCCAAATCCCTCGCATGAGTTATTATCGGTAAAAAATTGGGTACGCTCAAATCTGGCATCGCTGCAGCAAGTACAGCGCCAGTGAAACAGTGTTGATATTTTAAGTACAATTGTACTTTTTTCAGTACAATTAATTTTAAAATGTACAAAAGTACAATTTGCCGATTTTAAGTACAATTTCAACATCAAAAATATTTTTTTTGTACCAAACGCTCAAATCTCTTTTAGCACTTTGATTCTCAATCCGTTTACATTTAAGTAAATGGATATACCTATATTTCATATTGGCTGCGTTTCTTTATACATTCCGGATAACCCCATTTCACAGCCGGAATAAACAGAATGCGTTTGAAGTACACGTCAACGTATCATCGAGAACATTCTAAAGAATAAATAAACAAAAAAGTTTATTCCAAACGTTCAGAATGAATAAAGAAATGCAGCCATTTGCTACAAAACGAAATTATGAATTGTAATTTTGAATGTAAACGTAACGTGTAATATTAGTGATGTACGGGGGTTGAAAGTAAAAAAATTTATGTAAATTCCATGCGTTGAAATTATAAATTTCCTTTGAGGATTTCCATTTTATCGATAGTGATCTCATTTTATGTTCATTAATATGAACTGACCTATATAGTGTATTAATGTTTTATCATCATTGTCTTCATCTTTGACAAAATTACACGGTCACCCGGTATTTATTTTATTTTTTTAAATAATTTTAATTATTTTTTTTTTTATAAAATTGTAACTCATTATCAAACAAAAACCTTGCAAATAAATCGAAACTTGAAAGAATGAAAAAAATCAACAAAGTTTCATCAAACTTTCACAGTTTTTGTTCAGAATTTGTAGACATGTTTTGGGTTAACAATTTTGTAGCCCATTCATTCTAGTATAATAAGGTGCAAGTTTGAAGTGTCTAGAAAATACCATTGGTTTTTTGATTGTTAGATGTTTTGATTTGTTTGCGGTGTTGCGCATTTTCTTCCATACAACGAACGTTCGCATTTTATGTTATATGGATGAATGCGCGTGTAGCGTTGTTGTTTTTTATTCCAATATTTTAAATTAAGCTTTATTTTATAGTTTTTCTTAGACAATGATAAATGATGTACACAAATTTCAGTATGGAAAAAAAGTGCAACACCTTCAACGAAAAAAGTTCTCAAAAATCTACGCGAATTGAATGTACTATCTCGATCATTTAAACATCTCGGACTCGCCCACCACTAAAAATGATTATTTAAATCTAAAGTATATATTAAATGATATTTAATATTTGCTTTAGAGATGAAATTTCGACAAATTTGTTTAAACAAAAATGTTAAGCGCATATGCAGAATGTGGAAGCGAGATTCTTCTGCTTGCGTTTCTATGTTTATATCATTTATCAGTTTAAGCACATACGATTAAATGTAAAAAAAGTATTTTTAATTGCGGGTCCGAAAGAAATATTTATTAGTTGCATTGAGTTACGCAAAAATAGTGCCGAAAATCAATCGATTGTGCTGAAGGTGCCGGCTGCTTCCGAAAGGGCCGAAAATGGCACAATGCACACTCATTTTCCATCACTGTCACACATGCAATCTCACTATTCTGTTGACTTCGTTTTCCCCTTCCGATAACTTTTTGCTTCCGCGCTTGCCCAGCACCGCTGTGCAAAGCTTTGCACGCGCAGTCGCCCGCGACACATATGTGCTGATTTGGGCATCCCTAGTCTACACCATTGGAACACCACGAACTTAATGGTCCATACGTTTTAGTGGCAGACGATGCCTTTCGTATGCAAAAGGACTTACTAAAGCCATACCGTGGAAGAAATTTGTCAGCTGGCCAGCGCATATTTAATTATCGTTTATCAAGAGCAAGACGTATTGTTGAAGATGTGTTTGGAATAATGGCCAAACGGTTTCAAGTATTTTCCCGACCAATTCGTTTGAATCCTACTAAAACAACAAAGGTCACCATGGCTTGCTGTGCTTTGCATAATTTTTTGATAACGAAATCTTCGAACTATGTGGAAAGCCAAACTGATGAGGAAGGCAATCTAATACCAATTGAATTTAACCAAGTTTCACTTCGACCAGTTCAAGAAGGAACAGTAGGACAGCCAAACAATTACATAAGCAATGAAGCACAGCAAATAAGGAGAGAATTTGAAGAATATTTTATGTCTGTCAATGGTGAAGTACCATTCCAATACAGACATTTGTAAACTTGTATAGCCCACGCTCGAAAACGCGGCCATAATCAATTCATATTTTAATTAATTACACAGGCCTTCGAAATTAAACCCCCCGCCCCACAATGCCGCCTGAGTGGGCAAAAATCGTAAAATTCGTTATCTGCAATGTGAACTTGCTTGGTATTTTTGTAAAGACAATTTATAGACTAAAATTAATTAAACAGACATTTCCCTAAAAATTAATTATATGCCGGCAGGAAGCCACTAAATTCGACAAATTTTATACAAAGAATTTTAATAAGAGCATAGCCATGCGCAAGCTCTTCACAGAAAAAATGTCAAAAATATATTCTTTGAAATAAAATATTGGTTTGGCGTTCCTTGTTTTCATATAGATAGTAGAGAATTAATAATAATAATAGATTGGCGCTTACACATATGTTAGTGTTTGGCCGAGCTTCTCCTCCGATTTGTGGCGTGCGCCTTGATGTTGTCACACAAAGCGGAGGGACCTACCGTTTTACGCCGACTCCGAACGGCGATTGTATTTTTATGAGAAGCTGTTTTTCATGGCAGAAATACACTCGGAGATTTGCCATTGCCTGCCGAGGGACGACCGCTGTTAAGAAAAAACCTTTTTTCTATATTTTTTGCGATGTTGCTTTGACCAGGGTTTGAAGCCAGGTGCTGCGGAGTGGAAACGCGCACTGCTTACCACTACACCACAGCGGCCGACTACAGGAATAAAAATTTTGGAATAAAATTAAACACAGGTGTTTAATCGTCCGATTAATATGACGTGCGCACCCTAGTACTGCCCTCCCTTTGGTGACTTTCTTTCCACAGCGACGACGCTATGACCAAAAGAAAGTGGAGAAAGGAAACTCACTCCAATATCAACCGTCTCAGCGCGCGCACGGGAAAACGGCCACCGAAAAGCGGAGTTCATATCGTATTAAATACATGCATATGTACCTTTGCATATAAAGATATAACTATTAATAATAAATATACCATTTATAACGTTTTAAATATAAAAGGCGAGTGGTTTTCTTTAAAACGAACGCGAATAACCTTCTCGCTTGCTATGGTCCTTCTTCGCCATAACGAAAGGCACCTATGGGCATATGAACGCAACAACAAAAAACAAGAAAATACAATTTGAAAGTGAACATTTGTACAAAACATTAAGTGTGAAGATGGTGAACGAAAACCAAAGAAACTGAAAAATAAAATAAAATTGGTGCAAACAAAGACCAGAAAGCCATCAAAAAATATTTGTTACCGCCAAACTATAACCTGTTATCATCAAAAAACAACATTAACATCAATCAGGAGCTCAGCAACTAGCGCACCAGCAACAGAGGCAAAAGCAGCACCTTACCCACATAAGGCGAGTTGATCAGCACCAACAATAATCGCCAGCACCACTTTCTGAGGCAAAAAAGCGGAAAACAAAAGGGAAGTAAAAATTCATGAGCATAAAGTTCTTAAGGAAATTTTTCATCTTCCTACTTATACATACATTACACCCATTTAAAAAGCAAAAAAAAAAGTAAAGCAAATTGCGCTCTATTGTCACAAAAATAAAAAATAATATCAGTTCAGCTTACCCGGTAAGCGCCTAAATATACGTACATATATACAGGCATACATACGCACATGCATGGTGATCCCTTTGTTTACCTACTTACATGTGCATTCCAAAGC